TCCATCTGTTCACCTTCTGTCAACGTGTGTAACGATAAATGTTTCTAACAGAGAGAGAGAGGGAGCCCTTCTGTGGCCCTAGCCAGAGCATATAGATTCGGAGGCGGGTGGAGGATTCGTTCACGTTAATTCTCAACCCCCTGTCAGACTCACGTAAACAATTAAACTGACTAATGCGAGGGTTGCGACAGATGTTGCTATTGTCCACGAAGGAGAAGAAGAGAGGAAAAAAAGTCGGTGGCCCATTTTCGGCTCAGAGTCGGATGGACATGTCACAGCAAAGGGTTAATCGATTTACTGACTCTGCTCGCCTTGATGAGAGCGATATGTGACTTGCTACAGGGCCTATAACCAATTTATGAAGCTTACTGTTGTCGTAATTAATTGTTTAACAGAAAGACGAAGAGTTCTATATGCATTCCGATATCCAGAGGTTATGGACCAAAAAATACCAGAGAGATTTATTTGTAATCTAGCGTTTAAAGCGGTGTTTTCAGCTATCCATCTTCAGGGATTGGAGAGCAGTATTTGTATTTTTCATCTTATAACGCATTCTGCTATTGTTGGTTTATTAGCCATAATTAACCACAGATACAAAAGCAGCTGCGCTTTGGGTCGATTAATCATTCAAGCTCCATCCCATGAAGCTATTGATCTGGCCCTCCATTTCTCGAGAATTAGATTATGTAAACGCATGCGACGGTTCCGTTCACTGTTCCACCCTAATTGCAAGTTGCATAGTGAAATGTGAGTGGCCGACACAACGTGCTGACCGCTCAATATTTTTTGTCAGTAATATGTCTACTTATGTATTTTTCAGTAACCGTTCAATTGTTTTATTGAAAATTCAGACACCTTGATCTCATTCGAGCCATGATTTATCACTCTCCCGCCAGCCAGCAGCTTAGACAGTAAAAGAGAGCTCGGGCTAGCGCAAAACGCAAAGTATGGGAATTTGCAGCAGTTAGATCGAGCAGTCCGTTTAGCCCCTACCTAAATTTGTTTGTCTTCTGTTTTGACCATATTGTCAAATTGGTTTGTGTACAAATCATGTATGAGCTAACAACCTACGTGGCGTAGATCGTTCAACAAATGTTCAAATTTTCCGCCGAAATTACATTTGTATTCACTGTCATTTGCCCTATTCATCGAATTACCAACCACTAATTACAAGCAGGCTTCAACTAAAAATAAATAGATATTTTTAGTATAATCCAAATGGTCAGCTTAGCTTGGGAAATCTCTTGTTCTTATCGAAATCTACAAGACCCAAGTGCATCTAATTTGTCCAGTATGCTCGTTCATTTACTTTTTTGGACATTGCAGGTACTTCCTGCATACTGTGTCAAGCCTACCTAATCAACGTTTATCATTTAAGATTGTAGCGAAATTCGTCAGCTAAATATAAATTTTTCACGGTACGGAAACATCAAAAAATAACTGACTCAGAGACACATTCTGAATTACGAAGGCTTATTCGTGGTCATTTTATAACTAGTCAAACCGAATACGGTTTAAACTCTACTGGAGGCTGTTTTAAACCACTATCATGCCGTAGCTTCGTAATCTCCTTTAATTATGCAATTAACAACATTCTCAGTTAAAATACCTCCATCGCGTGATGCAATGGAAACAGTTGATGATTTCTTCAAAGATGAAAGAAACCGAGTTCGAGCCGGGCGTGTATGCCCTCCCCCTGCCCCCAGCGTCGTAAATACGATTCCTTTAGTTTCTTTAAATCCTGAGGGAATTCTACTTTTTGTAAAAAAGCGTATCGCAATCATTCCTATGTTACAAGTAGCTTTGTTCCGCAAGAGTACCGCCGTAAGGCGATGCTACACACAACCTTTCTGACCACAGTGGGATTCGAGGTCTACTCTTGCATATTATTTTTCTACTGCTGCTTAATTGTGATTCAGCTTGATGATGAGAACACAAAACAATAGGCGCTAATTCTGGCCCAGTTAACAAATGAAGATATCAACTCTGTAAGTATTCAAGGTAACGCAACGTGACGAAGTTATGGGGCTTTAAAAAAATTGTTCTGCAAGTGGATTTTGGGACTATTTCTGGGGGTGAGGAAAGTGATAAGTCAGTTGAAATAACTTTGGTTTTGCGCGTCGGCTAGTTTCCCAGGCGCTGTAGACCTCTCTACCGTGTTTCGCGGAACAGTCTGTATCAGTGCATTGCCATCCACCATTTACTCATTACACCATTCGGTTTTTTTTCACTTGAACTAGGCGCATGCATCTTCGGCAGACACCCAGATCTTTTTATCTGCAGATCAGTAATTAACATTCCTCACACATGAACAAATTGGGTAAAATCCGCATATGGGAATACGCAAAACCACTAATGCCGGTGGCCATGAACTAAATACCAACCCTTACATCAACCTTAACCCAAAATTTACCCCTCAGACGACCTCTGCACTCAACCCTGACCTTCAATTTCCCAGAAATTTGCGCAAAATCTGCCGTAGTACGGGCAGTTCCCATTCCTCTGGCTTACCATGACTCATTCTCTACTTGAATTATTCATTTTTGGAGGCTTGCTGCTTACGGCGTTCTTAGTATTTGGTAAAGTGCAAATCAGTCCCGGAATACGGGAATGATCGGAGTTTTAATTTACTTCCAAAGTCACCTGACCTAGGTCCGTCTTGAACATTCGACCAAATCGAAGTAAAATTATTCCTATGACTGGTTATAAACAAATTCGAGAGCGAGAGAGAGAAAGAGAGACAAATGTTCGCATCCCAGGTATGTGTGTAGGTAGGGAAACAGAAGGCGTTTCGATCACCGTAACCATAATTTTGCTCGTCTGAGCTTTCGGGTTCTTTCTGGAGTCTCATCGCCTGGGCCCCGGATGACAATTCAGTCAATCGATTTATCGATCTGGCGCCGGCATACATCGCCCTGCGCAGGCATCTCCGGACTGATGGCGCTGGTGGTTGACTGCTCCCTCCCTTCCCTTCCACCCTCTCCTCCATAACGGTTAATTGGCCCCTAACTTCTATAAATGGTGCTTTTCTTTCGTTGACGCCTTTAATCTCTGACGATGGACTCCAGACAAAGCCCGAAAGCTCACACAAGTAAAACTATGATTCCGGTGATCGAAACGCCTTCTACTTCTCTGTCTAGAGAGGTATACGCTTTATTTTGAAAGTATCGTTTTCAGTATAAAAATTATCCATTCACGATAACCAGAATAGAAGTTAATGAGTAAAAAGGTTTGCATGAAAGTGAACATTTATAACGAAGACAGTTCACATCCCGCTTTCCGTATTCATGTCTCTTTAGACGTAAGTTATTGTGTAGGAAATGAAAATACGGAACGTTGATATGCCACTGTATGGCAAGAGATATGTAAGAAGGCTCAGTGCATGCAACGGCAAGATTTCGCAGCAATTAGATCGCAGTGAAGGGAATGGACAACATCATCCAGAATGCGATCAGCGAGTTGGTTGGAAATTTAGTTGTAGTGGTATATCCAATAAACCAGCATATGAATACCCGCAGCTATCACAACTTCCAATAGAAGTGGTCACGTTCCCACTCAAATCATTTGTCTCTACTGGTAAGGGAAAGGTTACAAAATTTAACCGGACTTTTGTGATACATCTCAAAATTGTTTCACCATACTGTTAGGGCAAGCATGAGCGAAAACGCCAAACACACGTCTACGCAATTTTTCCGTTGTAGGATCTATTTGGGAGTGATCACTCCTGTATCTGGTCCTAAGTGCTCCCCATGCAACTTCCAATTTATAAACACCAAATCTAATCCTCGTCTTCCAGTGCTGAAACCATGAAGGTCGTGTTCCCGATAGTTTACACATAATATTTAATTTTAGAAGCAGAGGATGATCCGTGAGAATATGGTTAAATAAAGTGAACTTGAGCACTTATAAAATGTATGGGAGTTACCTCGGGAAGAGGATTTATTGAGGCCTCTCGTTCTGCAGCCTATCAATCACATAGCCGAACAGTTCTCCTCAAATGCGGCGGACCCTTCGTAACGTGTCAGAATTATTATCAGTGTTAAAAATAGGTTGTGATAGTTGAATTGTTAATACCAATATTAGCCGTAGTTTTTCGTTGACAAAGGTAGACTGTCAGGCTAAAATTATGTTGAACTGGAAGGCCCCCATTCTGTGCCATGCAATTCTCATCAACTAATAAATTTATTGTAAGAAAGCGAGTTTCCCTCTATCGCGACAAATAGAATAACCTCTTTTTCGGTAGCACACACTGTCAGTACTATAACTGCTGGGAAATATGGCGTAATTTGTGCATAAATAGAGGAGGCAATTGAAGATCGTTAACTAGCATAACATGAGTGCTGTCCCGCTGGTGGTAATCAAATGCCACACCTCTTTAGTGGAAAATTCCAAGCTTTCCGTCGGGACTTCGCAGTTCCCTTGGTGCAGCTTTTGTCCGTACTGCAGCTGCGTTGTTTTTGTCGCAGGCTCGAACCCCGTAGATGCCTCCAAGTTTTCACGATCGAAGCGTCACTTTGCGTCTCTTTATGACCACCGGTACATCAGGCCAGCCCATTTGCTAGTCGCCGCGTTCTTCTCACGAAAAGGCCGGTGGCGATGCTTAAGTGACACCATCTGCTGATTGGTCAGTAGTCGCGGCAGTGCGCCTTCTCTTAGCCAATAGGCGTGCAGATGCCTGTCCGTCCTCAACATCGCCCCCGCTTCCCCCCAAACGGCTGGGCTTGCGTCTACTGCATACTTTGGTGTGCGCATCTACCCTGCTCCCTGACAGTTTTGTTCGCTATCAAAACCCAAAGTAATTGTGTAGCACTCTTCTTACCTGCAGAGCACTCCGA